CTTGTCATTCATGCTTCGAAATGGGATTGACCGGAGAACATACAGGAGACGCTGTTGCTGAGCGATGCACGTTGCTAGTCTAATTGACACCTGCAGCGATCATTTAGCCCATCTAGCTTTCGGGGAAATATGGGGTGGGTTCGATTGGCTTTCACAATCGACAAACATACTCCAACTGCCCTGGGCGAGTTTTCTGTGCCTCAGCACAAGGGCCACTTGAAGCTGATTGTGGTGTCTTAACCGCCGACAAGTTCTGAACGACAAGACTTGCTCTGGCATCTATGGCTCGGGAACTCAGGGATATGGAACAAAACAAAGCAAAAACGAGTCCGGCTCGGAAGCGAAAACTAAACCGATTTGTCGATGCTGATGTCTGTAGGCCGGACACAAGACCTTTTTCCTCCTATAGGCCACGGGGCTGAGATTCCAAGTGGGCGCCGTGATGTCTCAGACTCTTCCACCCTGGAGAAATTTCCTCTTACTGGTGAAGTAGGCCGACTGGTTGAAAGCACTCTTGGGACACTCTGCCCAAAGTTATGTCCCACCCAAATTTGACTGGAGGAGCAATTGGTTGTCAACGTCCTCCAGACAAGAAAAAGGCGATCCCAAGAAAAACCTGGGAAACAAGTCACCGAGATCAGTTAGCTCTTTTAGTAAGATAGCTATCTTCAACCCCCTGGAATGGCTGACAATCTTCATCAAGCCTTCGTCTATTCCCTGTCCTGGTGTGAAAACAGTCCTTTCGCTCCTTAGAGTATATTGCCTCCCGTTCTTGGGCTAGACAATGACGGCCGATGGCTTATAGTTTATCTAGTGCCGGAAAATAAGCATGGGTGCCGCCAATCGTGAATGGAAGAACTAAGTTTACAACGGTCACCCTGCAATACTTTACTAGGTGATCAATTGATGAGTCTCAATCTCGACGTCGCGGGTAGCCAATCGGTCCAATTGAGAAATCATTTGTGGCGTAAGAGGCGATATGTGAGGCAAAAGGAGCATCGGGAACTAATGCAGAGAGGACAAAAGAAGGTTTCGTGGCACTCTGCCTATCGGTTGGATGTGGCAGTTTTTACGGGCAATGTGCAAAGGCATGTCGGATACCCACATAAGGCTTTGTTCATATCAAATTCCCTATGCCACCTTCAGCGATGACCGCATATTGCCAGCCATGGGGCTTGGAACCCGAAACATCTATTGGGCTCAAAGAAGTGATCGGAAAGAACAACGGTAGTGCTGTTGGATTTATAGAAGTGACGTTTGCTTTACCCTTGAGCACGTCTCTAGACTTTTCAGGTCAGGTCTTTTCTCTTTCTTCCTTCTCGGAGTGTGGCTCTACTATTGACAGTGTATGTACCAGTCATGGGTAATGTGCATATGCAGGTCACTTCCAGCTCCATCCACAAGAGATGGAACTATGGCTAGACATGGCGAAGAAGGTATTCTAGCGCAGAAGTACCACCCTCAGGCACGTTTAGGGTACTCCCGCATGTACAAATTTCTTAACTTCTTTGAACCATTGCCTCTAGCTTTCATGACCTGCCACCATACCATTCTTTCACTCAGATTGATTTTTGCTAAAACTTGTTACATCCTCACATGAACCACTAAAAATACCTTAAACCACATCTTCCCAGAGAAACTAAGAAAAAGTTACAGAAATAGAACCTTCATTCGACAAAAAGAAAAGCAGAAGAGAAAATACCATGATAGAGACAGAGACAGAGAGGCCCAGAACTTCTCTCCCCCCATGATTGTATTTCCCTACTCCAGGACCCCTTGTACTTGTCCCAGGCACACACACACACACACACACACACACACACACACATTCCACTTATCATTATTTGTACGTGTAGTTTATGCAGTGCAGCCTCATCACCCCGCGTACCATCCCCGAACCCTCACACACACCCCATGCAACATCACCTTCGAATCCCATCCCCCCAAAAAAAACATGTCAAAAGTACCTCTTTCTCCAGGAAATAGCCCAGTAAAAACCCCGGAAGAGAAGAAATATTAAACGCAGATCGGGTTTCCAAGCGTTTGGTCCCGGAAGCCTAGATACAAACCGGAAAGAACGGGCCGGGGAAGTGTACTAGCAATCAGAGACATCGATAAGCTCGATCTCCCACGATCATAGAAAGAGAGGAATTTTTCCTTCAAAAAAAAAAAAAAATTTAATAAAGAATAAATATTGAATAATGTAGAAAGAGATCTTAATATTCTATTATAATATGCAATATCAATTTACTATTCTCTTTCATTATTTCGCCTCTTGGGTATTAATAGGTAGATTAATTCAGGGGAATAAATAAAAATGAACGGAGAGGTGCCAAAACTAACCCTAATTGAACCACGGCATTGCACTACACACCCTCATATCCTAACAACGGTGTTACATGGTGAAAAACATCCCAACCAGATTTAATCTCCCAAGTGATTCCCTTTGTGAGCACAACTGGGGTCAAGGGACGTTGGTGTGCTACCAGGAAAAGGAACAAACTACTACCATGTGTGGCGCTAATTTTCCATCCCGAGTTGTGGTGGCATCTATAGGACACACTGTACTACAGTACATCAGTCCTTCCTTGCATCCGCTGCAAGTGATGAGAGATTTGATGAAAACCTGTCCTGGGCCCGTGCCTATGATCGGTTTCCATGAGTGCTGGGACTCTCGAGGTTGTTTGGGACAGAATCATATAACTGTCTATAAGGTTCACTCCGAAGGGAAAGGGTAAGAGAAAGAGGGTAACATATAGACACAACTATCCACGCAACAATAGAGGTGGCAAAGTATACAATTAGACTCGTTGATTCAGCTTCTTTGCTTCTTTATGGGGCGAAGGATGTCCTACTGCAGGATCTCATGTGATACACTTCAAGTTGGGCGTTTCGTTTCCGTGTAGATCTCCATGGCTGACTATTCGACGCATTCATAAATGAAGCCATGATAGGAAGGGATCCGTGAGAAGCCCGGGACTAGGGGCTATCAGAATGACTACGCTTTCCTGCATCTTCCAGGTTCACATCGGTCTCATGGTGGCTCTCATAGAGGTCCAAGACTCGGTCAACGCCGAACACTGCGACAATCAGAATAGAAAAAACAACGGAAGCTAGTCGAAGATGAACGGCACACCTGTCAAAATAGCAAATGTGAATGCGTATAGTATCGTGGGAGATGTCATGAAATCGTACGCAAGCGCAAATTTCCCGACGAAAGACACTAGGCTTGCCAAGATCACCCCGAGGATGATGCGGGTCGTTACTCCAATACTAGTGCAGAAGTTGTGGCGACGAGCCAATATTGCGAAGGCGGCAAAAAGAAACATCACCAGTGATGCAACGACGAAAAAATAGATGTAGACAAACCCGAGTAGCTCCATGTACATTCTCAGCAACTGCGAGCTAGTCAACTGCCCTATGTTTGTCTCCTCCGAAGGTATGATTCCCATACTAGAAAACAGAGCGGCAGTAACATTACCCACAAGGTCATTGAGGCGATCATTCGTGACGAAGAAACCAATCACCTTCTCTCCCGGGCACAAGGGGTGATTGGGCAAATCTTTTAAGATGGCGTCGATGGCCATCTTTTCTTTTATTGCGCCGCGGCTGTAATTAATCTCCATGTCCTCAATGGTATTCCGAAGAAGACCAATGGCTATTCCGGGTCTGGGCCGTGGTTCCTCACAAGCAAACATGATAGTTTCCTGGAGGTACGTGAGCTTCAAGGTAATGTCTAGGGTCAAAGCAAGGATCTGCGATCCTTCAAGAAGGAGAACTAGGGCCACATGAAAGGGAAAATGGAGCTGGGCCCATAGCTGCTGGGAATATTTGCCAAGTATGCCCCTAGGTGAGAGATCGTAATACGCTTGCCACAGAAAGTACTACTCCTGAGGCGTTAGCAACCCCGAAAGGGACGATAGATCGAATCTCTGAGACCCCATACCACATTAGTAGTGACTCCTAGAATGTGAACAAACGACCACTTTGTCCAGCCCCCCGGCCGCACGGTCCTATTCACAATTCTGGTGACTGATATGACCCCTTCGCCAATAATGATTAGCGTAAGGAGACCCATTCTTACGTTCAAGTGGGTATCTTGGAGTCCAATTCCGGGTGTCACACAAGACACTCCCATTATAACCCACATCTCTAGTCCGAACAAAGCAAACCAAACGGTCCATATATAGGAACGGATCCCGTCCTGCATCCCGAAGATATAAAACATCTATGCAACAGGTCAGACTGTGCATGTGGCTTCAATAGTAGTCACGATTCGTCTGTGCGGTAGGCATACCCCTAGATAGATTAAGCTTGAGACAAACAGCGTCGCGGCGATGATGGAGACCCCTTTGGCAGCAGGCTTCATTTGTTTACGAAGGAAGACGACGTTGTTGACTGTATATTGTAGAGCTAGTAAAATTCGGCTCCCGCCGAGAAAGAGGCTCAGTGATTGAAAGGCCCAAACATTCTCGTCTCTAACACGGGTGGTAAACCGCGTGCCTGCAGATGCAAAACCGACCATAGCTGCTAGCTGTATAGCCTTGCAGGTTCGTTCGAAAACCGAGTCCCTGGCGAATCTGATATCGAATAGAGTAACCTGAAGCCAGGTGAACCAAATCACCCCAAGAAAGCCTATGTATGCCCCTAAGGCTTCTACATTGTGAATTTCATGCGTAGCAGTAAAGGTAGAGAGATTCGCCACGAAAAACAAGTCAAAGAACAGTTCAATCGGAGTAGCATCGAAATGCCTGTGGAGGCGCGTTCCATGGTTCCCATCAATAGGGGTTTCAATGAACGGTATGGATTCTCGCCGGCTGCAGTTTGTCATGAGCCAGGCATACATATCAGTAAGCTCCTAAACCTGACTCACTGTGCAGTCCCATCAGTATGCGAAGTCCTACATAGCGGCTGAAAATAGAAGAAAGGCATTCGCATCATCGCCAGGTGGATTTAGATGAAAAAGTTAAGAGCTAGTCGATTGGTAGGTGAAATCTAAGTGTTGGGTATCATAAATATGTTTTAAGCCAAACTGGGTGTCATTTCAGGCAATCTTTTCGATACGCCGGAAAGAACGACGGATGATGTCAAACCTTTCCTAAGATGCTGGTAAGCGATCCAGAAAGGTAGGTGCGTGTATGCCTGAGCGGATGTATCACGACTCGTCCTCGGAGTTTCCTGTTGATACTGCCATGGAATTGCCGATACTCTCTAATCCTCGCTCGGCGGCTGTATCCTCGTCCGAGCCAGGAGTGCGCCCAGCTTCCTGTTTGAGTTTCTCGTAGTTATCCCCAGCTTCTTTGATTAAAGCCTGAATCTCTACTTCTCGCACAGCTATATCGGCTTTTTCCTTTCTTAGTTCTTCCATTCTATCGATCATCTGGGTTTTCGACTTTTCCATGACGGCCAAGGTTGTGCGTAGACGGTCAAGACAGGTTGATAGGCGTGGAAGGGAGGTCATTTTGGGAGGAGTCTTTGGTCGATCTGTATAGTCCTTGCCGCCGTGGCCCATGGCAGCCCTTGTTTGGGCGGCTTCGTAAGCCGCTTTTTCCTCTAAATCCGAGTCGTCTTCGTCCGAGATACCTTCGGCATCTTCAATAAGCTCTCGCATTTCTTCACGCTGCTTTTTGACCCTCTCGCGCTCAGCTTTTCTCCCCAAACTTATGTGGCCATCCTCCACAAACTCGTCGAAGCCCTCTGCGAAATCCTCATCGTCCCGAATCAACCGAGTGTCCCTTAGATCCTCTTTTTCATTTCTTGAGTCCCATTCTTCATCCTCCATAGTATCATCCAACGAGATAAAGTCCTTCTCTGTTGAGATGCCATGCTGCTGTTCTTTGGCCAAGCGCGCTCTTCTTTCTTTTTTCTCTCTAATTTCCGCTTCGCTAGGAATGGCGGCCGGCGCTGTGACTTTCATAACTTCGCCGAACTTTGCTGCAACATCGATAGTCTTCTCTTTATCGTCATCGGTGGCATTCTTTGGCGTTGAAGGCGTTGAATTCCGAAGCTCCTTCAAATATTCATTGCTGTAGCTTGGCCGATCTTGTTCTGGGCCAACCCTGAGTGGAAGCTGACCACCTGATCCCGATGGCGTGAGCGACCTCTGCAAAGCACTATTTTCCAGTGCTCGCCTCCCAAGTCCTTGCCGTTTCGGTATTACCACTTCACTTTCCTGTTCGCCATCTTCGGCCATTGAAGTTTCTCCGGGGCCAAACGATAGGCGCGTTTTGGATTTTTGCTTCGTTTTAGAGGGAACAGGGCGCTTAACAACCGGCCCGATATCTACTGTTTGTTAGTTACTTATTCTAGTGAAGTGTTTTTTGGTTCATGTTGCGCAGGAACTACTCACCTTGTTCGCCGTCATCCTCTTCATCGTCTCCGCCAATCTTACGGGGCTTTCTGCGGTTTGCAAACTTGGAACTCATTATTTAAGAATATTTTATCAGCCGCCTTTTGATCTTCCTGGAAGATATATTGCTTATCGCAGGGAGGTATGCGTTATTTTCAACAAGTTGCGTCAACCTGAGCTCTGCGCATCTTTGGAAGCTTCCGGGAAGAACATTTCTCCGGCACAGCTTTAATCCCACTGCTTGTGTCTCAAAGTTCCGCCGCGCGACTGACCTCGACATTACGGCGGGATATTCACCAGAACTAATTAGCCAAGATGCCTCAAGCTCAGCCCGAGTTGAAGAAGGTATACCTTGCGACTCACATTCCCTTGTTGTTTTGGACAAAAAAGGAGCTGACGGAGTTGTTTGACTAGTACATGGAAAAGCGGGTATTTTGCCAACTGAACGGCAACCGCAAAGTCATTGGTATCCTGAGAGGTTATGATGTACGTTGAGGCCATCCGGATTCTCCTATTGTTGCGAACCCTTTCCTATCCGACCCTGAAAGCGAGAGCGTTGATATCGGTGGCTAGTGGAGTCACATGGAGCGGGATCTGACGGTTATATGATACAGGTTTTCATGAACATCGTGCTCGACGAGGCTTTCGAAGAGAAGCAGGGCGGAGAGAAGGTCGCAATTGGCATGGTGGTATGTTGAGATACTCATTACGGCGGGAGTTCGTAACTAATCATCCTGTGCAGGTCATTCGCGGTAACTCAGTCGTCATGCTCGAGGTTAGTATATCTGCTGCTGCATACTCGCCCGTCTTGAATATGGCTAACAAGCAATCACTATGCAGGCTCTGGAACGTATAAGCGACAAATAAAGGGAACGCTGGATATCACCTTCATCGTGGGATTAATTTAATGCAGTACGGAGTTTACGGGTCGGTTGCTCTCTTTGGAACGATCGAAGGCACTTCGATTTCATCTCAAGCATGTTTACGATCAAATTGCAGTTTCAATATTTGAGGGATCAAATTCAGGGGTTCCCTTGGTATACCTTATCGAGAGACATAATCTTTGACGACACAGCCTGATGATTGCTATGCAAGACATCATTCATAACATGGCTCGAGAATACCGCATCAAATGGGCATGAAACCGGCAAACCAGACGCGCATTTGAGAAAGAAAACCGGAACAGGGGAATAGAAGGAGAAATCTTAGAAAATAAAATCGAGAAACGATATTCATTCCACCCTCGCGCCATAAGCCTCCTTTACCAGCCTCCCTCCAAAATAGAGGAATAAGGAAAAAACAATAGTATAAGGTACATGAATGAAGAATGATAAAAAAAGAAACACATTAATTTATTTTGGCTTCTGGCCAAATTTTAATTTTAGTTTGAACCCTCCACCCCCAGGAGTAGATGGGGTGGTTGGAGTGGCGGGTGTCCTGGATGGCGCTTGAGGTACGGGGGAGGATCGATTCGGGATGTGCAGCTTGGTAATCGGCTGCGGACGTGGACTTGGGTTTGCTGACGGGGTACTTGGGCCAAGCTTTGACTGCTTAAATGTGATGCGAGGAGCAGGGGGTGGCATACCCGGTTCTTCTCGTTTGCGCTTCGCAGGATTTGCGTCTTTTGATGAAAGTGAGGTGCGGAATTTGCTCGAGCGAGTGAAATGCAGACGTCCCTAGAAGATACATTAGCGCTGTTGTAAGACGATCCGGACATGATGCAGTAAAACTCACCTTCCCGAGATGCTTCACTTGCCAATACCGCGGATATTTCAATGCAACCTTCACGCTAGTGGTCGGGTCATACAAGATGCGGCAGAGATCAGTAAACTCGGAAAGTTCCAGAATCCCAATGCACGGAGAGTTGCACGCAGCCCATAATGATTCTTTGAGGAGCTGGTCGCCTTTGAGTTCACCTTTAAGTGCCTCTATAGCTCCAGGTACTGTCTGTCTTCGCGCAAGGTCTGCCTGGCGGACCTCGGTGGAAGACTCTTGTTCAATGATTAAGCCATCACCGGAAGCCGCGGTCTTATTGCTTGATTCGCGACCAAAAGCCACAGGAGCAAGCGCTTTGCCAAACAGGTAATGAAGCCGCCGTCGAAGCCAAGAAGAAGAGTCGCTTGACATGGTAAAAATGAACCATCTTAAAAGTTCAGGGCTCTGGAAAATATCTGTCTCCACGAGACATTCAAACGCCTCCAAGCGAAGGAGGTCATAAGTGCCGGCCCGGGTATAAGGCAGAAACTGCATTATGTCCAACTCCGTTATTTTGGCTTGCATGAGCTGTATCTGACAGCGTAGCGTAGTACGAGAATAGATGTTCTGGTACGAGCTGGACCATTCATCCATTCTTCGATATCTATCAATCTCGGCAATGGCGTCTTTCTCCAATTTCTCTTCGGCCTGAGACTCAAGTACCCCCTCCATGTCGAAATCGTCCAGATCATGGGAGCGAGACTCAACCTTGCCTAGCATCGCGTGACAAAGGGACCGCATAAGTGTCGCGACATAATAGTTATCCGAATACTATACATGATATGAGCTCAGAACTAGGGCCAAGATGATGTGCTTTAACCCACCTCGTTGTTGGAATTATCATTAAACCGCAGCTTGTCATAAAGAAAACGCTTCACGCGCATCGGTGTTTTCCCATTGTTGTCTCTTACTTTCGAGATCGCTTCTGGGATAACCAATTGAAGCACATAAGCAGCCCTATCGGAGAAGTCATTTGAGCGGGTCATGGGCGATCCTGGAAGACAGAATAATTCCTGGAAAGCTCGTTCCAGGTGGAATAGCCCCAGCCAATTGATGTCTTCTTTGGCATGCTTAACCAAGGCCTTTGCTGCAGCTACACGGATTCCGTAAAAGTACCTTCGGTCCATTAGGGTTCGGACAAAAATCGTGGAAATCAACGGATGTTCTCTTTGGGCTGCCATATATTGTAGAGACTGGTATGTTGTCAGCATAAAGCTCTCAAGGGAGACGACCATTCAACTGACCTCCAATTGGGCTATCACATCTCGATCTTGTTGGAGCTGCGAAAGGTACATATAACCTGGCATCACCAAGGAAAGCTTGCAAACCCACTCGAAATCTGCATCCATACGAATCCATTCGTAAGACTCTTGGCCCATTCGCTCCTCATCTTCCTTACTCCAATCAGCCAGCTTCCACTCTTGAATTTCTTCCTCACTCTGGAGTACATCACCCAAACAATAAAGCAGGACATCTTCTTGTGCTTCTGCATTAGGATCACCCCCCGAAGCAGCAGCGGCCCGTTCTTTCTGCCTTTTGTTCCGCTTCAAACGCTTGTATTTTGTGTTATAAGGGATATCGAATTTAGTGACGCCTTCTTTAATCTCGACAATATGTTCATAAGGTGTACCATCAGCTTCGTGGATTCTAATCGTCATGGAGCCCGTAAAAACCGGCTGAACAACCCCGGCATAGATACCCCGAATTTCCTCCTTAACGTCACGCATGAAGGAATTCTTGTCCAGGTCACGTGTGCTTGGCTGTTCTGATTGCACTTGTTTTATCATCATTTCTACTACGAGCTTCTTTTTGTTGAACCTCTGTGTAGCCTGAAAGCGAGGACACCCAGCACCAAAGACCCATTGTTGGAAGAATGAGTCCAGTTTCGCGTGGCCCAGTCGTTCACAGGTCTTCTGGAAAAGCATGGTGGATACCGCCCCGTTCGGGATATCGCCCATTCGAGCATTGAGGAAAAGCCGAGAAATGATGCGGGACATTGTGGCCTTTCCACTAGCTTTTGTAAGCCTTCGGTCGAGGATGAAAAGCACAAGAGGGGCCTTAAGTGCTATGAAATCAATCTCAGACGAGTCAAGCTGGAGTATATTTCCCATGTCAAATATTGAAGGACGCTCATAGTCCAAGTCGCATACTCTATCAGACATCTGTTTTAGTCGAAAGCGATATTCATTATTTCCGCAGAGTTTCCTCATGAACGTATCTGTGATAAACCACGCGACGCCTACTGTGACCCAAGTGTCAGTTGGCGCCTTTGGAACGATGTTAACACCGATCCACTGAGATGCAAGGCCATAAACGAGAGCACGTGTCCCGTCGTACATCGGATCGATGATATCTTCCGGAAACAAGAGATGACTGCTGCATATTGACAAGCACGCTGTCGACAAAGTATCCTCGGGCGCGTCATCTACGAAGCACATTTTGTAACTTGAGAATGGATACGACCCATATGATAGGGAAAAGAAGTCGATCGCCTTCGCCATTGGAAAGCAAGTGTTCCTGAGTTCATCGCCTCGCCCGGGAAGGCAAAAAGCATGCAGAGGGATGGCATTCTGGCCAAGCTGCTCATCTTGGTCGCTTTCCCGGAAATGTGCAAGGTTGACATATTCAAATGGGCCAACAGCAAATCCAACTTGCTGGGCAGAGAGCGGCGAGGTACATGCAAAGGATACTGTCTTTTTGCTGGTGTCTTTCGGATCAATAATCTCATCCGTCATATCTCCAGAACAAACCACCAGTAGGTCCAAGGCTTCATCATCTGGAGATATGTATCGACCAAGATTTGACGTCGGTTTAGGGCGTCCAGAAGCGTTGGAGCCAGCTGGATCGCGGATTTTGCGGTCAAACACATCCCCCAACGAACAGGGGCATTTGATAGACAGCTCCCAGGTGCAACGTGAGGAAGGGTCATCAACGCAAGGGAAAAGAGGGCAGCCGGCCCCATATCCAAGCGAGTTTGTTGTAAAGGCATGCGGGTAACGTCTGTCCCCATTCTCGACTCCCACGAGCTGTAACCCATCCTTTATATTGTCAATAGTAAATTCGATGTTGACCGTCAGCGCTGTAAACCGAGGAAGTGTGGTATCTGGCGCTTTGGAGCTCAAAGGGCCTTCAGAATCGTCGGCAGCACCAGTTGCACGGAGAGCCATTTGATCTTGGGCCTCAACTGAGAAAGGGTCAAGTTCTTCAATCCTAACGCTTTTTGGGACCGACACAAGCAGGTCGGGCTCCGGCGGGGACTTAAGCAAGCCATCTATTTTCGAGGTAAGTCGTTGATGATAATGAGGACCGTACAGTTGCAGCGACTCGTAGGGGTCCGCATATTTCATCGACGGTATCTTTCCGCAGACATTCAAGCGCCTAATCTCGCCCTGTCGGAAATTTAATCGAATAACACGGAGCTCCTTGTAATGTGGATGGATCGTGATTTCAGTTTTCCCCTTGAGGCTCTTATTTGCAAAGTCTAGCTCCAGCTCAACCTTCTGGTGCGCAACCGTATAGCCCAGTCCCTGCCAGGCAGGGCCGGCAGGAGCATCAACGACGCCAGGCATTGCGCAGAGTACTCAGTCGTGCACTGCGCCGCGAGCGCTTCCCTGATCCTCTACCGTCATGTCCAAGCTCAAGGAGCAACTCTATAACCTCTGGATAGCGCTTTCAGTCGATACTGAGATGAAGAGCAATATGAATCGTTGATGCGAAGAGGATCGTGTGCGGTAGTTGAAGCTTCAGCAGCGGGGAACAACAGCCTGGAGTGATTGATAAATGAGAGTTATTCAAAAGACAGCTGAAGAAAAAGAAGTTTATTCAGAAGTCATGGCACCTAGAAATAGAAAGGAACCTTTCTATTACGAAACAGCAATGAGCACGAAACGCAAGAAGAAAAAGCCACAGAGCTCTTCATCAACCTCCAACTTTCACTCTGTTTCTCATGTCGCGTTGTTGCGTCGAAAGCTGCGGAGCTCACAGACCAGCCCGCCCAGCACGTGATAAATTGTGATCCGCGGATGGAACGTCCGCCGATCCTCTTGGGTCCCTTTTCGTTCCACTCTTTTTTCCTCAGGGGATTTTTAGGATCATCTTCCCTTCGCTTGTCTTCTGCGGATTGTACTTGTACGTGTTTGTCATACAGCACCGCAGCTTTTGGTTCAGTTTCTCATTCATCAATTATCGTTGTATTTCCTACTTCATAGCGCGATGAACTAAACCCAATCGTACGATACAATTTGTTGAAGTGCTGATATACCATTCCATTGGCGGGATTTTAAAAGGAAAATGAACGCAATTTTTGAGAGGATCCAAGGTTCGTTCCTTGGTTCTATGTTTGGCATGGTCTTCTTTGGGCTGATTACTTATGTTGTACTTAGCGATCCAAGACTCGCTTTCCGATGAAGCTTTGGCGCCGCTCAAAAGCTACAAGTACCAGAGTGTGGATAAGTCCTTTATCTCTAGATATGTCTTAAAACACTACGTACGATATCCTTTACCTTGTACGATACTCGCTGCGCGACTCCCGTCTAACAATGGCCTTTGCACTTTAGTGGAATGCGTTCGTCGAACTTTTACCAATGTGGATAGCTCCGAACATGGTAACCCTCTTGGGTTTTATGTTCATTGTCGGAAATGTGATGCTCATAGAGGTGTTGATGCCTGATCTTATAGGGCCTGTAAGCAAACCACTGGCCTACAGACCAATTCCTCGCCCAGCACTAAGCCTTGCCAACTATAGGGTCCCTCTTGGTTATATTACAGTTTTGCTTTCGGCATGTGGATGTAAGCATTAAGATTCGATATCATTGGACTGGTCTTATCTCACATACCGAAGGTACTCCACGCTGGATAATGTTGACGGCAAACAAGCTCGGAGAACGGGAACGTCTAGCGGGTTGGGGGAGCTGTTTGAGTGAGTGAACACTTTCGGAATGACATGAGTAGTTGCTAACATATAACAGTCACGGAATCGACTCCTTGAATTGCACGCTTGCTAGCCTACTAGAGACTGCCGCGTTGGGCTTTGGCTCCACGAATCTAGGCGCCTGGACAGCCCTGGTTCCATGCCTCGCAATGTATTTCTCCACCTGGGAGACCTATCATACACATACTCTCTACCTCGGCTACTTCAATGGCCCTACTGAGGGTCTTCTGATCGCAATTGGCTTGATGGTGGCATCGGGCTGGTATGGGCCTGAGATATGGTCTCGGCCGATAGTCGAGTTCTTGAATATCCCCCAGGTCTTTGGGAACAACTCCGTGAAGGACCTTTGGATTCCCCTCCTTCTCTCATCGTTCTTCTTGGGTCATTTGCCTGGTTGTGTTTACAATGTCATTTCTTCGAGGAGAAAACAGAATCTCCCCATATCCCCTATCTTCAAGGAGTGGGTGCCGATGATCGTCTTCACTGGATGCAATATGGCTTGGCTTTTCTCTCCTTATTCGAGAATATTGGCTGATAACCGCTTGGTGTTGTACTGTTGGACAATCTCATTTGTCTTTGGACGGATGACTACAAAGATCATTCTTGCGCATCTTCTGAGACAACCATTCCCCCATTGGACCATCTTGCAAACCCCTCTGGTTGGCGGTGCCATTTTAGTGAACTTGCCTTGGATTGGTCTTCCCGGGATGAGCGCATGGGTAGAGCTCCTGTACCTGCGACTTTATCTCCTCTTTGCCTTTGTCATCTATATGTACTGGGCATTCTTGGTCATCAACCGGATCACAACCTTCTTGGGTATCAATTGTTTGACGATTCGGCGCGACAAGTCGACAGCCCGAGAGCAGGCTTACCGTGACATTGGTGAGAGAAATTTCGAGGATGCCAATACTGGTGGTGACACTAACGCGGGGCGCTATAAAAGTCATTGAATAGTTTCTTTAACACAACCTGGTTACGTTGCCCATGGCTGACCAGACAGCTGTTTCTCTGAAGTTCGTTCTGATCAGCACGCTCTCAGGCATTTTCTTCCGACGGTCAATCGTGACAAGAATTTCCCGACTCGGCCTATGGATTGAGGCGGGATCCGAGGTGTTCTCGAGAGACCTACGTCTCGCAACATCAAGAGCCAATGTCCAGGCTACTGTGGCCTGGCTTGGTCTAGCTTGTCTTCTCAACTATATATACTTTCTGTAATTACGTTTCTAATGGCCTCTATGGATACGCCACTGGCGCAACTTATGAACTTACGACTTCTGTGGATGGCTCACGCAAGAGTGATTATGAAGGCAGGTTATGGATGCAAAGCTGCTACTGGTATATAGTTAGATAGTGTAATATTAATGTCCATAGACTTGTGGCTTGTATACAAATTGTCCCATGACCATAAGACGTGTAGGGTTAATGGAGTCGCTTGCGACCTATTAAGCGTTAGTTTCAATAAAGCCGAGCTATACTTGTCATTCCTTATAAAGCTTAAAATGAAAGCCCATTCAACAGCGGGTCGCGTAACTCAGTCGGTTAGAGTGCTGAGCTAATAACTCAGAAGTCGAGAGTTCGAGCCTCTCCGTGACCAGCCTTTCTTTTTGTCTTTTTGTTTGTCCCCTTCCTTCCCCCACTTCCCCTCAGCTCGGCCTCCTTCCCTTCCCTTCTTTTTTTTTTTCTTTCCTCTCTAATTATAAGAAAAATGAAAAGTTTTTAAATTAGTCTATTTCAGGAAGTCAAAATAGAAATTGATCAAGTTGTTGAACTAAGTAGTGTGGGCGAGCTTCCACTCCATATCCTACAAGTACGTAGTCGATATCAACTTTGGTTTCGGGGCTGGTATGCTATCTCCACTTCACATTCGATGTCCCTTGCTGGCGGCCTTCTGTAGCTTCTCCGATAGGCCAGATATGCGCAGACGGTAGCTACGGGTAGTAGTATGATGTCTACTAGTAATTACCATCAGCATTACTAGCTGATGACCATTAGTGAGTGTTACAGTGCCATCTGTGATCACCGCCCGGTCTTCCTCGGTGATCTGGCCGGTAAATCCGGTGATCTGAGAAGTTCTCCGGCTTAGCAGAGAAATTACCGGCTCTCATTTGTCTAACTAGTATACTTCTACTACTTCTACTACTACTAGTACTACTACTTGTAGGAGTGAAAGCACCCGACATGTTCCCTTATTCACGATCATCCTCATCCCTGTGTTACTGACAAGACACCTTCGCATAGCGTGTCACTAACTGTACCTCCTGTTTGTTCTCTATCGAACACATTGCTCTATCTGGCATTTTTACTTCTTACGCGTCTAGCCAACAGTACTTACAAAGAACGCTCGTGTTCACCCGCGGAGAGCATGTACAGATCTACAGATACTTCTGCACCTGGCGTGAAACCCGCAGACGGCAGGGAGTCTGCAGTCATCCAAGTTCAAGATGCAGATGAGCTGCGTTTGGCCCAAATGGGTATGCTTCCTTTCCCAATCACGGCACCTTTAGAGGTATGTATGCTCACTATTTACCAGGTCACAAACAGGAACTAAAGCGCCATTTCTCTGTTTGGAGCTTAATTGGACTGGCCGCTAACTGTACCATTTCCTGGACTGGTAAGCTGGCTATCTGTAGGTGCAGTAGCTCAATCGTTGCTGATAACATGGCCTGGTAGGGCTCGGACTTGGATTGATCACGTCCATCAACGCTGGTGGGCCCGGTGCTCGTATAGACTACTCCTAAATAAAGCAAAATTAGGGTTATACCACTGACCAAGCCTAGTTATCTACGGATTCATCCTCGTTTTTATCCTCCAGTGTTTTTTGGGCACGTCGTTGGCTGAATTCGTCTCGGCTTACCCAGTCGAAGGTGGAATGTACCACTGGATCGCAGCGATTGCCCCAAAGCGCTATAACAGTCTCTTGAGCTTTCTGACGGGATGTTCTACGGTCTTTGGCTGTGAGACGACAATACTACCATTATTTATAGCTAGAGATTGCGCTAACCACCTTATAGGGATCTTCACGGCGGCATCAACAAATCTGGTATATGCCTCAAACTTCATGGCTTTAGTAGCGTTGTATCACGATGACATCAAGCTCCAACCCTGGATGACCTTTGTTGCATACCAGGTCTTGAACGTGTTGACATCTGCAGTGGTTATGTTTGGAAATCGTTTCATTCCGAGCATCAATAAGTTTGCCTGTAAGTTGTACTAGGGAAGCAATGATAAGGGGCTTGCTAATTGGAAGAGACAGTGGTGTACCTCCAGCTAGCATGGTTTGTAATCACGGTCACAGTGGCCGCGACAGCGCCAACCCACAATGATAGCAAATTTGTTTTTCGGACCTGGATGAACAAGACGGGCTGGGACAGCAATGTTATCTGTTTCATCACGGGCCTGGTAAATCCGCTGTTTTCCCTCGGTGGGTTAGATGGCATAACAGTATGCATTAGTCCCTAGTTCCTGACGCATTTCTAACGTGGTACCAGCATATCACAGAGGAGATGCCAAACGTAAGTGCGCATCTGTATCGCAACAGAAGCCAGTATAGCTAATATTTTGCTCAGCCTGGGCGTAATGCACCTTTAGCCCTAGGTATGGTTCGAGGATCGCCAGTCCTGCTCGTCACAGGGAGCTGACCCAATTCACCGCAACAGCATGCACCCTCATAATTGCCTTTGTTACTGGACTTTCTTACCTTCTGAGCTTAATGTTCTCGGTGCAAGACTGGTCGAGCCTAGCAGACAGCCCAACGGGCCTCCCACTTGCGGCGATCTTCGGTCAAGCAACACAGAGCCGTGGAGGCGCTTTCGCGCTGACATTCCTTCTATGGATTGCTATTGGGCCTTGCATGATTGGCTCACAGCTCAGTATGGCTCCCTTTAAACTCGAACATATATAATGTATACCATTCCTAATTATATGAGTCCCCAGGCACCGGGAGAATGCTTTGGGCTTTTGCTCGTGACGATGGCCTTCCATTCTCCAAGGTGTAAGCAGAGCAACAACTGTATTGTGTTAGTTAAGATACTGACTATCCCAGCTGGGCCCGAGTCAGCCCTCGATTCGGTGTGCCCCTGAACGCACAAATATGTGTGGCAGTGATTGTAAGCCTTCTGGGCTGTATCTATCTGGGATCTAGCACTGCCTTCAACTCTATGCTTAGCTCTGCAACGTACACTATTATTGCTCCCCTTCTCTATCTTTCCCCGCCACTTGAAGATTAAAATACGGACTAACATATATCTTAGGACTATCAACAATCTCGCATACCTCGTGCCCATTTTCACTAATGTCGTACTGAACCGCAGCACGATGCATCGCGGCCCATTTCGCCTACCGCATCTTGCAGGCATGACCGTTAACATTGTTACTGTCATTTGGCTGGTTTTTGCCATTGTCTTCTTCAGTTTTCCATTTTATATGCCCGTGACGGGTACGTCGGTTTTTACTTCACTTTCTTTCTTCTCCTGTCCCTTATATACGACATCGCATCTCATGTGAGTTACGTTTGAAATGAGGAACACTAACACATCTACAGGATCAAACATGAACTACACGTGCGTCTGCGTTGGTGGGTTCATCATTATCGAGCTCATGTGGTGGCTGATCGCTGGCAAACGGTACTCGAAGACTGTGCAGAAGATAAGGGAGGAAGAGAATAATGTGATGGTTAGGGTGGACAGCAAGAACTTGTGATGAAGACAATACCCGTGCTAGTTCTTTTTCAGGTGGTTTTTCTTCTTCGGCCTTGGAGTTCGCTGCGGATTGTGTTTCTCCTCTTCTCTCTCCTCTCTTCTTGTCTCTTGATGAGCTTATGGAACTGTGATGATAATGACGGTGGAATCGTGCTTACAAAGACTGCCCACAGTATTGGTCGAGAAATAGAATGAAATTAATGAAACAAAAGCGGTTTTGCTTTATGTGCATGCAATAATCGAAGATGTGTTTGTATAGGTGGTGGAGCATGACATCTAGCCATGCTAAAGTACAAGTATTATTGTTTCCCCAGGGCTCCATTCACTGCGGGCAAATATAGATAGATAGGCGTAACATCATGATTCTGTTAGTGTATAAAAGTAGTACAGACGTGCAATTAGCACATGCGTCCAAATAGAAAGTCTTTCACGACCGGCGAACTCGAAAATTCTGGATTAAGAAGGACACAGCTGGTGAACGCGACGTGTCAGTCTGCATCAATGCGATATGAGCATGCAATGAACTTACTTCAAGAAGTATTCCAGCCCGACCCGCCGGGATTCGAGGAATGCTGGGCGAAATTTGACTAGTACACTCGTGTTAGCGAAGCCGAAGTATGCAGTGGCAAACGTGTATGTATGGTGGGGCATACAGAGAACACTCTTCGGTGGTAGAGCTGGTAGGGCGTTCTTCGCGTGCGGGAATGAAGATACCAGCTTTTGTCTTAAGTCATCGAATTCAGAGTACCTGGATCATGAGACATTAGCGGCAGATCTTGATGACGTTTGGATCCCCGGGCTCATACCTCATGCGAACACTGATGGGACCACCCTACAATCGCCGTTAGAACCAGAATATCCTTACGAAAGCCACGAATATGCGGCCGACTAGAAGGCAATGCGCACCTCGAGGGTTTGTATGGTACAACTCCACACCACATATGCGCCTATACCGGATTTCCCCTGGACGACAACATGATCATCTACAGATACGCTCCTAGCCCATAGTCCGCGGCTCGTCTCGGAATCTGGATCCTCCGTATGGTCTTCAAGAGTAATTGCAGGCTGTTCGAGAGAGATTTGAGAGGCACGGGATGCATTCCGATGGTGACTCCAGTACGGCGGAACTATGCCGGAGACCGGTCGATCTTTGGGGCCCCCATTGTGGGCGTGCGGAAAGACGGTGCCATTGCCGACGCTGACGCCGTTGGAAAGGGAGGTTGTCACGAGCGCATCAGTTTCTGAGACCTTGGAGGATGCCGTTGAGGGATGGAGAGGAGGGGATGGCAGCGGTTGCGGGCGAGGCACCAGGCTCGTCTCCTCATTCGCTCGCTCCATCCATTTAGATATCTAGCAGGACGAACAATGAGTGTAAAATAACCGTAGCAGCACGTTCTAAATATAAGTCGGGAATGCAACCTCACGACCAGTGGCGGAGGCAAAATCAAGCAAGGATGCCGCCTGATAACAACTAACGTGGTTCTACTACAACCCGAATCTGACTAGCGAAGTTTGCTGGCGCCGCAGAGGCCTGTGTGTTTCGGTCGGAGTTTTGGAGACTGCGGGGGAATTCAAAAGACGATGTGGTTCACAAAGTCGGTGGCTGATAAGATATGAGGGTTGATACCCTTTTTTTTGTTTTTCTTTTCTTTTCTTTTCTTTTCCCTTGCGTAATGCTTTGTTAAAGTGTACTCAAAAATGGGCCCATCGACGGAGGGAGTTCAACTAGACTAGAATTCATCCGTTAAGTTCAATTCAAGTTCCCATTGAGTTATCGGCTCGGAAATCACGAGACCGAGCCGAATCCCCACTTTTTTTTGTTTGAAACTCAAGTCATGTGGCTATCCTGCCAAAAGGGGTATTTAGCTTCAGACGTCCTATCGTAGGAACCACTAAGGAGGTGTCACTCTGTAGGTCCCTCGTAGGAGTACCTATGTACATTCTTATGGTCTGTATATATGTGGGTCATTAATACCAAATATTGTCAATAGATATGCAGCAGTGCATTCTTTTGCATGTTTGTTAAGAAAAACATTTCTTTCAAAAATCTCTTGTGATCCTCATGAGATCCATAGCTAATATATCTTCGCTCTTCGTCGCATCACTTTATCCTTTTCCAACCGTCTCTGCTGCCCGTACGGAGTACTTCGTACACTAGCCAAAGGGACTAGACCCTGAGAGGTAGTGACAGAATGAACTACTGTATTCTATTATCCCTAAAGCCACACTAAAGCAAAGCCAAGCATCGAATGGCCCAATCACTTCGTTTGAACCTCGGGTAATCACTGAGACATTTCAACCCCCAATCCAAGGAAAGCCCTCGCCAGAGTCCAGTGTCCAGACAACAACTCAGTATCTGCAACGTCGTTAAATGGCTCCGGCGCTTTCCAGGCCGTTCCAGCAACATGTGCGTGATTCTTTCCGGTATCGCGGAGAGGTCAAAGTTCAAGACAAGTCTGCGAATGATGATGGACTTCCAAAGATAGCCACCTATCAACGAGGGTGGGATCAGTCATTATCATGCGCAGAGGTTGAACAGTTATGCAACCAGGGTGTGTCTGCATTACTGCCATTCTAGAAACATTACCTATGAAGTCCTCCCTGCCCAGCACCCTACTTCGTAGCACTAGTAGGCTAGTGCGGACCCTAGTACCGTACCGTATAGTATATACGGCACCGTCGGAGAGCTGCCCCGGATCGACAAGTGATAGATGTTTTTTTTCTTCCCAAAATGAAAAAGTTGCCAGACAAAAGGGAAAGGTTTATAATTATTCATGATTTTTTTTTTTTTTTCTTTTGAATAGTGGTAATTCTCTGAGATCCTTTTAATTTTCCGCAGGTGCCCATTCACGTAATAATTATACCGCCTGTCACCCTTGAAGACGTTCAAAACCCTGGATCCAACATGGGATGGCAGATGAGCTAAATTATGTACCAGGAGGCACATAAGGAGCTCTCCAAGTGGCCAGACAAAGCCTTGAAGACTGATAGCGCCACCACCCCAACCTCGTTTCGGATGGCGGGAAACTTACTAGTAAAGTAGGACGTGGAGCACTGGGTTGTCGTACATACTATACTGTACAGGCTGTCGTACATATATGGGGCCATTGAATCATTCACCATTCTTTCCTTTCTTTTTCTTCCCCTCTCCATTTTCTGCTTTCACCTGTCTTCCATCTGCTCTGTGCTTGGACTGCTTTGCCAATCTCATACCCAATTTGAACATCTTCATCTGGAGACAATCTATCCATCACTGAAAGATCGCTATTCTTGTCTTCTTCTCCCGCTACTTGGTAAGTCCTGTTCAAATGATGCTGCCCATTATACAACTAGAAGCTAACCATTTGATTAATAATAGCTTTTCTAGTCATTCGTTAAGCTTCATTATCTTACAAACGCATCACGATGGTTCTGCTTAGTTCCTTGGCCGTCGTTGCCACTGTAGCAAGTCTCGCTACAAGCCAGACCACTAGTACTATCGACCCAAGTACCGTTTCAGATGCGACGCGAAGTGCGTTTCCCTGGACTGGTAACATTTGAAGAAGCTCTTCTGACTTTCAGTCGTTATAGAGCAATGGTGCCAATCGCAAACCTCGGCTTGTCCTCTCATCTGTCTGCAACTGCCAGGGGCCTCGGGCAGCCCCACCGAAAACAAATGCGACTTCGTAAGTTATAGGTATAATCCATTGCGACCTAAAAGACGTTCTAACGTGCCTCCTCTGGCTGTGAAACAGAAAACCCTTGTATACTCGTGTATCTGCAGCAACCATCAGTCTCCCAACGCATCTGAATACTCCCAGACAATCCCCTACTTTGTTTGCACTGAGAAAAACAACCAATGCGTTAAAGACTGCGACGGTGAACAACAGTGCCAGTCTGACTGCCGCTCCAAGAACCCATGTGGCGCTCAGGAACCCAAGCGTGTCAACACTACCACTTCTGCAACTACCAAGACCGCTCAAGCGACCACTTCGTTGCCTCCTTTCACTGGCGTCCCGGACAAGAATGGGGTCGCCTCCAGGCCATCGGCGGATTTGAACCAAATCTACGGTCTGGCCGTTGTGATGGCCGGATTCTTTGCCGGCTTTGCGACCTTGCTGTGAGAATGGCCTTGACTTAATGACGGCGCACGTTGGATGGACAATTGAACATTTCTGGGAGTGATGGGTCAGCAGCCAAAAGCAGCATGACTAAATCCCTTGGCATCATTAATATCGTTCATCTCCAGCCAGAGCCTGCGTTGCCTCTGCATGATTGTTCAGCATGCATAACGTTCTTCTTTTTATCATTTTTGTTACGAGCGTTTTGTGTATGTATGTGTTGATGATATTTCTCACTAATAACCATAATCATGACCTATATTTCTAAAACCTGGGAGAAATGATTGGAAAGAGTTGACTGACTACACTACTGATAATCCGCGGACCATCTCTTTTTACCTAGGTTCAAGCATAAGGCACACTGGCATTATCATGCTAGTGGTTTCTTAGTAGAATCAAATGGTACGAACTTCTAGGTCAGGCAAGGATAGAAGATGAATTATCACCAAAATTCACCAAGCACGAGGTAATGTTAGGTGTATTCACTTGACCTGAACCGACGAGCCGTCAATATCGGTTGTCTGGCCTAACACATCACCTAGGTACTACTAGGTAGTAGTAAGAGTCCCGTGCCGTCCTGTTTGGTCGTTACGTTCATACTTTCCTCACTTCATCATCTATTTTGTCTACTGCTTCTCTGCACACCAACACGTTTCTGATTGCAATCTTTTCTCTTCTTTGATCTCTCACTTACTTTTACCTCTCTGGCCACTGTAGCTTTCCCCCTACTTCACGACTACGCTACCTTGTGTTCAGAGCCATCCTGCTTGGACTCAACATCATGGTGCGCGACAATAATATGGTAAGCTCCTTGGGTGCAAGACACATTATATAATTGGAGGACATCCCATACTCAGAAAGCAGACACAGGAATGGCGGCGCTGCCATGTTTGCTGGGAGCGTGGACATATCTCGATGGATTGTCCAGTCCGTCAAGGTCTACTCCATCTGGTATGTAAAGGAAAACGTACGCTAGATGTTGTGAGACAAGTTCCTCACGTTTCATAGGCGAATATGGCTGCTGAGCTGAACGATCGGATACGCCGACCTGTGCCGATTCGAGTGTATCGAGTGAATACCCATCGTCGTCATCACCGCCCTCCTCGCCGCAGACATGGCAGAGAGCAGAACAGTGAAAGGAACCATACAGTATGTGCTTGCTCAAGGCACCAACTTCAAAAGCACCAACTACTGTTGACTCTTTACTGCTAATAGGGACGACACGAACAACCCCCTCGCCCAGCACATGTTAACTCGGAGCTCAACCACGAAGATCGTGGCCCTTATCATCGCGATGTCCATAACAGTCGTCCTGCTCGCCCACCGGCAGATAATAAGGAGAACATTCGCCCTGTTCCTCCCGCTAACCCAGCTCACTTGCAAACAAGCGTGGCCTATGACAGGTAGACCTTGATATGTATTCTGAAACAAGCATGTCGCTAACAGAAGCTGCAGACATGATCTCAATATGAGGGTCGATTCTTCCATTACTGCCCCGGGGTGAGACCTTCAGCATGATGTCTTATAAATAAGCTGACACTACATGATTAGATCATCTGCACTTGCCACTGACACTAAAATGGAGTCAGAGTCAGGTAATCCGATCGAACATTCAGATAACCCTACCTCTGATTATCTTCAGACGAGCGGGTGAGTAGCCTCCGGTTCTCTCGCCATCCCATTCAAGGTACTAATAAAACAGAGCTGTGGACGTCCAAACCACATGCAGGTAAGGTGCTATACCTGGTTTGGACTGATTGGTTCTGACACGCCATGACCAGTGATACCCTTGCTACTTCAAGTGAGAGCGGGTACGAAACCTAAGCCAGCTGCCATAACTGTTATACTAATACAAATACCCAAAGCACTCGTGAGAATCTTCCAAGCTTGTCATTCAACGTCTCCGGTGATATTGTGATGACTGGGGAGTCACAAGCTGTGGTGGACGATTATTGCAGTGAGCTGTTTACGATCGTATGAACGTGGCTTCGTCAGACAAGTCTGGCTTTGGGAAAATACATTGACACCCAATGTTATGAATCGGCATCTTCGCGGTGATAGTACTCGGACTCTCGAATAAAGGAATGTGCGTCTTTCTTTCTTTCTGACTAGATTGGTTATTGACTGAAACACCCAGCTTTTGAAATGTTGCGGATCTACTTGGTCGTTATCCAAAAGCACACGCAACATGCGCAGCTATCAAGATCAACCAAACACGAAATTCTGAAAAAACGGGTACTAGCAAGGGTTTACTGTTTTAGGAAGTAGGATAATTATCGGTCACGTGCCCTAGTCTGGTTTTCCAGTACTGATAAAGCAGGATGT